GGGGAACACGGGCCTGAGAGTACCTGGTGAGTATGTGTTTGAGAGATCTTGGGCCCTCCATGACTTAAATTTCTTCCATGTAATAAACTGCTACTAAGACCAACCAGCCTGGCCCTCGTTTCCTTCCTTTGCCTGCCCATCGCCATTGACCTCCCTGGAGTGGGGAAACGGCCTAAGACTACCGAACTGGGCGACGGCGGGAGAGAATGAACACAGAGTCTATTTAGCCAGAGGACAAGAGATGTATTTCAGGTGGTAAAACTTAGTATGAGACCAAGACTTCTGTCCCTGGCAACTCAAGCCTCCCAGAAACACTGGGTTTAGCACTGATGGCCCCTGGGGACTCCAGATATAGGCCTTGGTGGCAACCAACCACTGCCCTGTCATTCCAGAACCCCAACCTACCAGGTTTGAACTGTCAAGATGAAGCCCTGAGAGTGGGTCCTATATTTTTAAAAGTTTACTCAGATAACAATGAGAACAAAATTTGTTGGATTAGGTGCCATTTTCCCCTATGAATTGTCAAATCAATAAACGTGTAGGTTTCCTAAATTTTTTCTATGCAGATTGAAAATCAAGATAATTGATGGAAACTGTGTTAACTTCCAAGTTTTGGTAAAATGTGTCTTTTTCAAGTAGGAAGTGACAATACCCAGGATCCCTGTACCTTAGCTGGAATTGTGATGGATGTTCTAATGAAGGTGAAGACTTCCATAGCTCTCTGCCTCTTCAGAGAGCCCATATCTGGGAATTGACTAGGTCTCTGAGGCTTGCGGTCAGGTGTGTTATACTCTAACAAAATACCAGAGAGTCTTCAAAGGTTTCCTATAGTAATCCAGTCTTTTCCTTCCACAAAAAAGAATTCGACTAGACTTCTTTTTTCCTAATCAATGCAGGGAAGGAAACACATTTCACTTTTGAGTCTCAGAGATGCAAGAAAAAGAAAAGGTACATTTCCATCCCAGAAGCAAGACAAATGCCAGTGAATGCACCGGATAAGCATTAAGAAATCCCAGAAAGTAAATTAAAAAGATTTTCAGTCCAAGATATTTTCTGGGCCACATGATATTCATCAACTATTAGAATCAGGGTTCAAAAAATTTAGACAATAATGGTCTCTGTAGCCTCATTATCTGAAAAACACTATTTCCTACCCCAGGAGTGAGAGTGTTAACATTACAGGGTATGAGATTTTTATTTCAAACTGGGTAGGAAAAAAATACAGGGAGTGATTATCACTAATTCTGAGTTAGCACAAAGTTCTCAGATCATATATAGGAGCATAAAATGATTGATAAAAAAACAAAGAACTATTATTTAGTATCCCCTAAATCACAAATTCTGTATGGCATTATTACACAAACCTCCTGACTTCATTTTTTGGGGGTAAGTGACACCAGGAATTGCACAGGGTTACTCCTGGCTCATGCACTCAGGAATTACTCCTAGCAGTGCTCAGGGCACCATATGGGATGCTGGAATCAAACCTGGTTGGCTACATGCAAGGCAAATGCTCCAGCCCCTCATCATTTCATTTTTAAATACTAGAATTTCATTTTTTTATTTAGGTTTTTGTTTTTGTTTTTCTGTACTATATTCAGTAATGCTAAGAACATACTGCTTCTGACCCTGTACTCAGGGGTCACTCCTGGAAGGACTTGAGAAGCATACTGAGTACCAGGGACTGAATCCAGATAGACTATATGCAAAGTATGTTCTGTACTATCTCTCCAGATCCTTACATTCCCACTTTTGTACAGCATTTTGAATTATAGCATAATAGAGATGTGATATCAAGCAAATATATGTAAATTTAACAAATATTAGAAATATCAAATAGTCAATAACTGGGTCCAAAATAACTATGAATCAAGTAATATCATAACACCATGTTTACTTTCCAGAAGTACATTCATTATGAACCACTTAATCTTGTTTTGCTTTTGTCAAGTTTTTATAACCTGTGAATGTAGTCATATACAACAAAGATATGTGTTTCCTCCTTTAAATCTCCCATAAATAAATGTGAATTTTCTTGTGTCTTTTCCTAACATTATGTGTAAGGAAGCTGCTCACAGATCTTTTCTAGAGAAGCTGTCCACTTATTTTTATTGTATCATGTTGGATTATGTTTTTTGATGGCATAACTATGTACCTACTCATATATTTTGAGTTACTGCCATTGTTTTTATATATATCTTGGAGCTTTGATTATTTTTCAGCTGGATTGTACTAATATTGTAATTGTTTGGAAGCCCTAGGATTGCAAATTATTAGTATGACTATGTTCAACTTTAAGTTTTAGTGTCCAATTGTTATTCAAATAGCTTTTCTCACAGTATGGATGATTCTCCAAAAATTAGAAACTGAGCTCCCATTTGGCCCAGCCATACCAGTCCTGGGAATATATCCCAGAGGGGCAAAAATATATAGTCGAAGTGACATCTGCACTTGATTGTTCATTGCAGCACTCTTTACAATAGCCAGAATCTGGAAAAAATCTGAGTGCCCAAGAACAGATGACTGGTTAAAGAAACTTTGGTACATCTACACAATGGAGCTGTTAGAAAAGATGAAGTCATGAAATTTACATACAAGTATTACTACATGGAAAGTATCATGCTAAACGAAATGAGTTAGAAAGAGAGGGATAGAAATAGAAAGATTGCATTCATCTGGGGAACATCAAGTAATAAAATAGGAGACTAACACCCAAGAGCAGCCGAGATTAGTGACCGGAATTTTACTCTATGGCTTGGAGGCCAACCACACATGCTAGGGGCAAAGGCAGCTCAGATAGAGAAGGGAGCACCAAATAAAGGGTGTTGGGAGGATCCTCCCAGGATGGGAGAAGCATGCTGAAAGTAGACTATAGACCGAACATGATTGTCACTCAATGCCTCTTTTGCAAACCACAACACCTAAAAGAAGAGAGAGAACAAAAGGGAATGCCCTGCCATAGAGGCAGGGTGGGATGGGGGGATGGGGGGTGGGAGGCATACTGGGATCCGTGGTGATGGAAAATGGGCACTGGTGGAGGGATGGGTACTTGATCATTGTTTAATCGAAATCCAAGCACAAAAAATTGTAGGTCTACAACTGTACCTAATGGTGTTTCACTAATAAAAATTATTTAAAAAAATAGCTTTTCTCTGGGTATACTCTCATGATCCATTTACCAAGAACTCAATTATTGGCAGTTTTTGATATTTTAGAGTTTCATTTTGTGGAGCAGAGTCCTCAGGGAATCAAGGGTACCATCTCATGATCTCAGCAGACAGAGCTGGAGATTCAATGCAAGGGCACACAGATGTGGTATTACTCAGGACATGTGGCCCCAGAGATTTCAAGCCACAGAGTGGAGTTTATAGGCCTCTAGAAGGCTGAAGTGATAGCACAGTGGGTAGACTTCCTTTGCATGCAGCAAACCCAGGTTCAATTGCCAGCATCCCATATGGTCCCCCAAGCACTGCCAGGAGTGATTCCTGAATGTAGAGCCAGGAGTAACCCCTGAGCATCGCCAGGAATGACCCAAAAAGCAAATAAATAAATAAAAAATAAAGGCCTCTAGAACCACACCCAGTGATGCTTAGGAGACGATAAGGACCTAAGTTCAGTCCTGAGTTACTACATGCAAGTCATGTGCCATAACTCTTGTATTATCTCAACATCCCCATTTCTTATCTTATGTTCCACCTATCTGGAGGACATGACTAATGTTTCACAGAATGTTTTGCTTGGACCAAGGTCAGAAATTGCCCCCCACGAGCAGCTCTCTGGCACGGCCATGGTTCCAAAGGCACGAGGATTTAATCCAGAGCCGGGCAGCTTGCAGCAGAAATGTGAATGGACTATGTGTTAAACTACAGTGCCATGCCTCCCCAGGAGTGAAAGCGTGTCTCTCCCTTCCACCTTTTTCCCACCTGGCAGCAAGGTGGCCGCAGCCTCAGAGCTTATTGGAAAGCCAGGTATGAGCCAGCAGTGACGGGGCAACTGCAGCCACATGGGAAGGGGGGCAGTACCAGCTTGTCCTTCACGCCCCACTGAGGTCACAATTTGCCCCCCACGAACTTTGTATAAATTGTGCTTAATTGTTTACTTTTAAAATATTAAAAAAAATGTGTTTTAAACAGGTCTATTTTCAATGCATGCTTTGCAGATACTTGCATGTACTTCAAAGCTTATTGTCAACCCACTCTGTATGCTGTATGTGTCAGCGTATATGCATGTTTTCTTAAAAAAAAAAAGACCTAAAGTTAGAAATTAAATATTTCTCAGAAACGAAAAAAAAGGAATGTATAAAAAAGGCAAAGAATTCTCATTTAATTGCAAAATTGAAGTTCTCAAACTGGGGAGAGTGTGGAAGCCAGGGAGTAAGGGAAAGAAGCAATGAAGTTGGGGGGGGGCAGTGAAAGGAAAGTACATTAGGAGTGATATCAGGACAGGGATTGAGGTTCTGGGTGGTTTTAGTGGTGAAGGTGCTTGGTTTCATTTCTAAAAACCATGAGAGTTAACACTATTATAACCTACATTTAAAGAGTAAATAGATAAAAAATTTTTATCTCAAAATACTTATATCTTTAGTTCCAACAAAGCTCCAATTGTTGTTGGCATAATTTAGATCTCCTCTTTGGAAAAGGTCGTAAGAGGAAGTTTGTGAGCAAGAATAGAAAACATCTTTCCAAAATTTGGGCTCTTGAAGCCTAGTGGTTGTTGGGAACTTCCAATTATGAAACAATTATTTCTTGGTCATATAATGTACACTATGGTGATTATAGTTAATAAACTTCTATATTCTAAAGCAACTAAAAGAGCATGTCTAAAAGGGTCTCACTACACAAAAAAATTTTGATTATAACCATATGAACATTAACTAGACATTTTATCATAATTATTTCATAATCTATAGATAATAATTGTTATAAACCAAAACTAAGATAATGTGTATCAATTTAAAATCTAATTAGTATAAATTAGAAATCTCATAACATATATTATTCATAATTGTGTTTAATTCTATTAAATCTCTATAGCCAGATATATGGTTTCATGTGCTTCACTTGAACAGCAAATGGACACACAATGGGAAAAAAAAAGCCCTTGTCTTCATAGCTGCAGCACAAATAGGCTCTGGGGTCAGTGCAGGATGAAACTTCACAGCCAGGTTCTCCAACTAGTGATTACAGAAAGTGATCTAATGACTGTCTCAGAGTCAGAGGATTCCAATCTCAGAGACAGAAACTTGCAGGCAACTGGGAATTATGGGCAGTTGCAGGCAGGTATTACAGAAGAGGAGAAAGAAGTATCCATCAAAGATCTTCAGGAGATCTTCAGGGGTCAGTGCAGGAGACCTGTGGAAGAGAGAGTGATAAGCATAGTGCACCCTGAGGAATGGAACCTCTTTCTTCCCCTTAGAGAAATCAGATCGAGAAAGCTGAGGGCCACATCACCTGGTCTTCAGATCCCATGACAACTGAGTTAAGATCAATTTATCTAAAAAGCAAATGGTGACTAACAGATCTGCTCTGATATGTGGGAAACACAGAAGTTATCTTGCTGAAGGATACGAAAAATACAGTTGTTTTTTTATAAATCTAATTGAAAATCAATTTACACCTCTAGTAGCTACTTTCCACCACTAGTAGCTACTTTAACATTTTTTTTCTTTTTTCTTTTTTGGATGGAGCATACACAATAGTTTTCAAAACTTACTTCTAGTTTGCTGCTCAGGGATCATATCCAGCTCAGCTCAAGGGATTATTTGTGTACTGGAAATGGAACCCAGGATACTAGCATGTAAGGCAAACAAGCACTATCCTCCATACTATCTCTTCACTCCAATATTCACTCATCTGTAACTACACACAGGAAGTAGACACCAATATGTGAAACATTTTAGGCAAAATTCTATTATCTGAAACCCAAGCTGTATCTCTGACTGCAAGTTTCAAAGAAAGATCCAGCCAATGTGTGTCCTCTTCTGAGGGAAGAAGCTCAGCAGTTTCTAGAGAAACTAAGTATAATTCTCTACTAACTGTTGATTTTGTAAGGGAAAATGTGTCACAAATTGAGACCCCTGTGTCTGGATATGTTCACCTCACACCCTTTCCTCCTTTACTTATTCCTTCCCCAAACCCCACGTTGAATCAGAGCAAAAAAAAAAAAAAGTACCTGTTGGCAAAGTTCCGTGAGGTCCTATGAAAGGAAGTTAGAGAGACGAAGGTTTCATTACTCAAATAGACAGTTTTTCATTTACCCTAACCAGAAGAGACATTTGGAACACAACTGGATTTTACTTCTTCCCTAGCCATCTGCTACAAGACCTTCATTACCAGAAACTAAATCCTCCACCCCATCCCCATCCAAGGAATAAAACTGCCACTAGAAGTCAACATTCCAACCTTCTTCTTTTTCTTTCCTTTTCTTTGTTTTATTATTACGTTACGATTATACAAAGTTTTTTATAGTATACTTTCAGGCATATCATGTTCCCTCACCAATTCAACCACCAGAATCACTTCCCTCCAACAATGTTCCCAGGTTCCCCCCTCCCAGTAGCCTGTCACCTTGACAAGCAGTTTCCACTTTATTTGTTGTTATGGAAATCTCCTGATTACAGTATCACTGTATCACTGTCATCCTGTTGTTCAGGATTGCCTCCAGCAGGCCCCAGTAAAGTCTCTTTCGTCCTAGCCCTGAGATTTTAAGTACCACATTCGAGGCTCTTTCAGGGTCAGGGTCAGGAGAATGAGACCCATCATTGTTATTGTTTTTTGGCATATTGAATATGCCACAGAGAGTTTGCCAGACACTGCCATGTGGGCAGGATACTTTTGGTAGCCTGCCAGGTGCACTTCTGGGAGCAGGGTTTTATAGTCTCTGGGTCTTGTCCATTGATGGGATGATTACACTGCGTGCTGGGGGGGGGGGGAGGGAGCGGTGGAGTTGGTGGGTGTAATACCTACATACTGGAAGATGGGGGATCTGGGTGGAGGAGGCCCCAGTCCCAATCCAAGCTTAATTGACTGTGTAGCTTACATAAATACATATACCACACCTCTAATTGAGGGAAGGTAATAAGCTCTGAGCCTAATTAAAAGTTTTTAGAAAGAAGCCACTGAGACTACAGAGAATGGGAAAGTCCTAGAACATTCTCTACATGTTACACGGCTACCATTAACTATTCAAATCAGACTCCAAAGTCTCCAGCAAGGTTGTTCTGACTCATTTCACCAGCACCATGACCTCCTTCCTTTTAGGATCAGGAGGAAAAAGGCTAATCTGGAGAGAGAGTCTCCAGAGAGATTGATGCATAGCTTATTTTCCTCATTTTCCCAGATGGATTTACCTTTCTTGTTCTTGTAATGGATGAAGAGGCCCAATCCAAGGAAGATCAACCCCAACACAAATCCTCCAATGCCGCTCAGCATCTTGTTCCGGGCAGAATCAGACTGGGCTCCTTGGGAACAAAGTCTGAGTGTCAGCATTTGCTCCACAACTCATGAGTTCCTTAGTTGAAGATCTAAACTCTAACTTGAGTACCAAACAGGAGGTGTCAGAAAAACCTTGTTTTTCATTTGTACCATCCCTACAAGGTGGAAAGACCCACTAATAGATTCTTAGACATAGTGAGCTGGTGAGAGAAGAGGGAAGTGGGGAATGGATTCTAGCTCCCTGATGTACCTTTACCCTAAGGCCCCAGTTACAAGCTCTAATAGTCAATGTTTCAGAGTTATCAGAGCTGGGTTCTGGGACCACAATAAGTGGAGTAATATCCCTAATACCTGGAAAGAAAATCACATCAGAATTATTTTGATGCTCTTGTAATCAAGTTTTCTGTAGTTTCCATCCAGCTCACGAATGATGTCTGAAATAAAATATCGACATATGCTCCCACTACCACCAGACAAAAGGTCCAACTTTGTGACTGACCTCACACACACACTGGCAGCTGACTTATTCCAGGGTGGCCTACGTCCCTGTGGTGCAAGATCTCTAGAGCCTTAAAGGGGATGGGGGCAGAGAGTGTCCCCACCATGCCAAAGCCCAGCACTCCAGCCATTCATATGCAGTTCACACTACCACCAGAGAAACAGCCCAGCTTCACATATGATCTTGGAAGATGCCATGAGACACTGGAAGTTCCAAAGCTGAAGCATACTGCTTCTTACCATGTAACATGTCTAAACTTCACAGAACTGACATCCCCGTAGGAGCACAAAAAATTACATGGGGAAAATCCATATAAGCCCATTGAGCTCAGTGACTGAAACCAATGATACAGAAAGCGCAACTAGCATTTGTGAACTAGTTTGTAAATTATAAATAAGCTTTAAACAAAGTTTCATACAAAAAAAATAAAGAATAAAATAAACTAGGCTCAGAGAAGCTCTGTCAACTGACTTGAGAGACCCATAGTAACCAGAAACAAACTGTCCCTTACTCCACTCCACGGTGATGGGGGTCTCGAGCACAGGGTGCTCCACTTGGCAGGTGTAGACATCTCCACGCTGGGGGGTCATTTCCAGCATCACTATGATCTGGAAACTCCAGTCCCCATTACTAATAAGTGGGGTGGATACAACGCCAGCTGTCTCCTCCTGCTCGTTCCGGAACCACCGAACATTCACTTGACCTGGGTAGAAGTCTGTCACCAAACAGACCAGCAGGTTGTGGTGGTTTAAAGCCTCTGTCTTGCTTGGGTAGACGGTCACTTTAGGTTTCGCTGAGAAAAGCAACAGACATAAAAACACATACTGAGATAGACACCAGGCATCTAATCATTCCAAGGGGTTGAGTCCTTCCTTGGTAACAAAGTGAAAAGATCCCTAGGTTCCAGATCTTTGATTAGGATCCAAGCTTAGTCAATTTGTTAGCTTGAATAAATACATCAGTTAGCTTACAGTGCCAATAGTGAGTTACTAGGTTGCTATTAAAAGCTAAAAAATATTCAACACTTTTAAAAGGTATATTTCACAATAGCACATTGATAGGGCACTTGCCTTGCACGCAGCCAACCAGTCGTCCGAGGTTTGATTCCTCTGCCCCCCTCAGAGAGCCAGGCAAATTACCAAGAATATTTCGCCAGCACGGCAAAGTCTGGCAATCTACCCGTGACGTATTTGATATGCCAAACACAGTAACAATCAGTCTCACAATGGAGACGTTACTGGGCACGCTCAAGCAACTCGATGAACAATGAGAGAACAGTGCTCTATCCTAACTATATAGGTCATATGAAAATATTTTATGATAAACATTAACTTCTTTTCCCTTCCATCAGGACCATTTCTCATAACTAGTGTGAAATAGGACATAACACAATGCTCTGCTGGTCCCAGTGCTCCTCCAAGTAGAGAAGACAATAGCAATTTTGATTTTCACCGGCTGCTATGAGACTTTCAACCCTCTCATTATCCCAGGAATAGTGATATAAACCAAGAAATAAGAATAGGTACAAAGTGGTTAGTATTATATGGAGAAGTATAAAGCTAAATCCCTCAAACTACATAATGTTTTAATGGAAAGACAAACCAGTTTTTAAATTTGAATAGACATTTCTCTTTTTTTAATATAGGAGTAGTACTATTTATTTAGTCATTGATTAAGCTGAGTGAAGGAGGGATGAACTACAAATTATTTTTAAAAAAATTTTAAAATTGATTATCTTTGACCTTGACTATTACAAAGCTGTTCATAGTCAGGTTTCAGTCATACAATAATCCAGCACCCATTCCTCCACCAGTGCACATTTCCCACAACCAATGTCCCCTCTTTCCCTCCCACCAACCCCCAAACCTCACCCCCCCCTCCAGCTTCCATCTATGGCACTCTCCTTCTGACTCTATCTATTTTTCCTTTTTTGCATTATGGTTTTCTATTCAGCTACTAAGAGGTCATCCTGTTTGTTCAGAGTGGGGGGTTAACCCATCCGGACCTTGAGACAGCCTGAAGGTTTCAGTCACAACAACTGCATACCCATCAGCAGATTACGTCTCGGTGAGTTCCATCCTGAGACTGTAGAGTCAGGTCAGGGGTATGACTATGATTTTGGATTGCAGAAGAAAATAGCTGCTGAGGGCTCAGCTTGGGCAGGTACCAGGCTGACCTTCCCCTCTCTGAGTTACTCCAGTCTGTTCAGCCATGCACGGGTCTGAGATTAACTGAGACTTTTGAAGTCTTTCGAGATTTATATCTGGATCTCTGAAGCAAAGCCAGTAATAGTGCTTACATGGGGGTTCTGGAGTTGGTTTATGGGGATGACTGTCAGTGCTTCCAGGGGTATTGGGAAGTGGGGGGAAGTAGCCCATGTCAACT